TCTTTACACCAGTAAGTACCATCGAATAGGGCGATATCTTATAGGCGAGGTTGAGGTGGATGACAAGCTTAGAAGGAGGCTCAACAATATTGCCTCGGGGCGGGTCATCTCTTTAAGATACCACCTAAGAACGGTATGTCGTTGAGGGTAGTCTGCGATGAAGGTGAGCGATAAGAAATAATAGCGGAACTTCACGACGGTGTCGTCGGAGGACACAGAGGAGTAAAGTGGACTTTTGAGAAGGTCAGAAATCTTTACTGGTGGGACGGCCTATATAGAGACGTGGAGTCCTACTGCCTGACGTGCGTAGAATGCCAGAAGAGGGTTGTAGTTAAGTATAAAGAACCGTTGTTCCCTTCATTTCCGACTGTGGTAGGGCAAAAACGTTCACGTCGACCTAGTCAAGATGCCCAAGGGAGAAGGAGGAATGAACTACATCATGGATATCAGGGATGACCTAGCTGGGTTCGTGGAAGCATGAACGCTACGTTAGAAGACAGGGAAAATTGTCAGTGAATGTCTGATGGAATATATCACCCGGTACGGATGTGTCGGAAAAATCGTCATGGATAGGGGATCGGAGTTCATGGCTAAGGAAGTCCAGGATTTGCTCACGAGAACAGGGATCCGAGTGTCGTTATCTACGGCATACCACCCTCAGACTAATGCTCCTGTAGAAAGGGGCACCAGTCTCTTGTAAACGCGCTCGCCAAATGGTGCGAGGGGAGGGAGAAGAACTGGCCGAAGTATCTGAGATTCGCAGTCTGGGCAGATAATGTTATAGTGCGATCGACCACTGGATACCCGCCTTACACCTTATGGTTTGGAAGGCATTATCCTTTACCCATAGAATTTCATATGGGTTCTTGGACGAAGATTGATTGGGAAGAAGTATCGACCAGGGAACAACTATTGGGCGCTAGGATTAAGCAAATAGCTGAGACCCTCGAGGATAGCGTCCTGAACGCCATAGAGAAGCTAAAAACCCAGAGGGGAAAGGAAAAGGAAAGATGGGACAAAAACCTTCGAGTCAGGCAGGAAGGAATACCTGCAAAAAGCTTGGTCTTACTCTACAATTCCGCTCTGGAAAGAACATGGACAGGGAAGCTAGCAAACAGATGGATGGGGTCCTACCGTATGGTTAAGAGACTAGAAGGCGGGGCCTACCTGCTTGAGGAATTAGACGAAGCCAAATGGAAAGAGTCAATGTCTGGGGCCCGCTTAAAAGTATTTAAGGATCGAAAGGAAGCTACCCTGCATTCGAAAAAGAGTAAGGAGAAGGACGGGGCCGACGAGCGGCTAGAGGAACACTTAGAAAAGCCTACGGAAGATCCCACGGGGGAAAGTGGGTCGTCCACTTATGAAGTAGGAGAATCCTCTAAGAGATCCACGAAAAGGACGCGAGAGAAAGTCTTAGGGGTCCGAAATAGCCCACAAAAAGACACAAAGAAAAAGAGGCAAAAGGTCCTAGAATCAGCCACGCTGAGACGGGAAAGGAAGCGCAGGGGTAAGGAAGCTATTAGGAGTGTACAAGTAAAAGATAAGGGAGAAAACAAACACCGCCGTGAGAGGAGACGACGAAGGGCCAAAAAACGATTAAGGATTAAAAAGAGGATGATTAAGAAAAAGCGAGATAAGGAAAAGAAGCGACAGAAAAGGACCCGACGGGGGCGATAAGGGTAATCTTGGGTTGATGGGTAGAGATTAGGAGTCAATATTTTCTCCGTCCTCTTTTTCCCTGATATACAAAGATGGTTCGCCGGGGACGTCGAGAATGGGGGGGGGGCTGCTGTAGGGCGGCTCCACTCTTATGCCGCCCTTTACTTCCTCGATAAGGACTATTGGCAAGGGCCCGACTCACTTACTTTACCGGCAGGGACCGCTACCAGGATCCGGAAGTTACGCCAACAGAACAACACCATGAGTATCAGTCTCGACATCTGGAAATAATGGAACCATAGACATAGGAGGGGACACCCTTGCCTGGGCGAATATGGGCATAAGCCACAGACAGGCATGAAAAAAATACCGCAACATGAAGATTGCCAAGGGCTCGGAGCAAAGGGCACTACCGTGAGGGGTCAGAGTTGCACCAAGGGTTGGCGAAAAGCCAGAAGGAAAAGGGCGTCGGGTCCTTGACACAAAGCTTCGAGCATCTCGAGCGGTGGCAGCCTCCGAAGTTGCCACGAGTGACCAAACCCCTGGAACACCTTGCGTTGGTGACGATGGAGACCGGCCTTTTAGGCAGGCTTTGGCGCCAAGGAAAAAAGGTTTTCGGGCCAAGGATCGGAAATGGGCCTTATGGCCTATAATTTCGGGGGGCCCTGCTCGATTCTCTCAAGGGTCGGTACCGCTTGAGCATAGGGGACCACCTAGGCCCAAATAGACCTGGGACAAGCTTGGGAGTAGCCTCGGTACCGGGGCGCTGCAAAAGGCCCACTTCCCGAGCTAAAGGCCCTCTTCGTTGAGAACTTTTCGGGGGCCCAATCAGGCTCGGCCACAGGCCCGGTACCAAGGTGTTGCAACTCGTGGGCAGCCTCCGAAGAGTGGAGAGCCAGGGAGGCCGGGCCCTGCAAAACATAAAAGCCGAAAAGGGCTCCGGGTGGGGACACTTCTCGCATGCATGAACAGGGAACGAAGGGAGGACGGAGGGACTTCTTCATACACAGGGAGATAGCGCACGGACGATATGCACGGGGAGACAACGCACGGGCGATACGCACAAGGAGCAGAGCGCACAGGTAACCAACACACATGACCCCCCCCGTGTGCACTAAAGCGCACAGGCACGCAGACGAGTGCGACCCCCCCTGCACACTAGTGCGCACAGGGGCACACACGCGCACTATCCCCCCTCGCACTAGTGCGCACAGGCGGGCACACGCGCGTGATCCCCCCGCGCACTAAAGCGCATAGGCGTGCACACTTGCACGATCCCCCCACGCACTAGACCGCATAGCCGCGCACATACGCGTGATCCCCCCGCACACTAGAGCGCACAGGCGCGCACACACGCTCGACCCCCCCGCGAAGTGGAGTGCACTGGCGGCGCACATGCGCGCGATCCCCCCCCACACTAGAGTGCACAGGCGTGCACACGTGCGCAACCCCGCACGCACTAGAGTGCACAGGCGCGCACACACGCGCGATCCCCCCTCGCACACGCGCGCGATCCCCCCGCGCATTTGGACTCGCAAGCTCGCAGCACGCAGCCCCCTCAACGCACCAGCAAACACAGTCCGAGGGCGTGCAGCCACGCGCAGCCCCATCGCACGCCAGTGGACATGGGCGCGCGGGCGCGTAGTCCCGCGCAGCCCAACGCACAGTAGCGGCTAGGGGCGCACGGGTTACATACCAGGAACCTGCTAAAAGGGCGTTCTGACGGGGCACATTGAAGGGGTTGTTGACGGAACACTCAGGACGAGCTCTAACGGGCGCACTAAGGGGGCAATCCGAAAGGGGTCCTTCAAACGAGGAAGGGGGCATCCCGAGAGCGCACACCAGTGGGGCACCCCAAGGCCATACGGACGAGGCATTCCAAGGACACATTGAAGGAGCACTAAGGACGCGCTCCAAAGGGGCGCATCGAAGGGCACGCCGAAGAGGCACGCAAGGGCACATGCTAAGGACCCGCCAAGGGCGCGCACCAAGGAGTGCGGTTGGGAGGACGGCCGCATGCAGCTAACATACATCAAGAGCATGGCGATCGGGTACTTTGGGTACTAGGCGATTTGAGCAGGCACATCGAGGGTCGAGACGTCTGAACGGGCACTTGGAGGCCGGGCAGTTTGAACGGACGCATTGATGATCGAGACATCCGAAGAGGTTCTTTTGTGAGGCGGTCTTCCTAAAAGGCGGCCTTTGTGAAGCGGGCTTTACGAAGAGGTGCAGGTTTTCCGAAGAGCTACATTCCGAACCGGGCCTTCCGAAGGGGTACTTCGTGAACCGGGCCTTCCGAAGAGGTACATTTCGAACCGGGTCTTCCGAAGAGGTACATTCCGAACCGGCCTTCCCAACAGGTACATTCCGAACCGGACCCTCCGAAGAGGTCCATTCCGAACCGGACCTTCCCAACAGGTACATTCTGAATCGGGCTTTCCGATAGGGTACATTCTGAAACGGGCCTTCCGAACGGGTACATTCTGGACTGGGCCACCGAACCTGGTACATTTGGGGCCTTTGTGAGGGATGGAAACCATTGTCATCACGAGAAGGCATCGTCACAGTAGACCTTGAGCTTTGGCCCAAATGGGCACGGGAAACGACCTCTGATACGGAGAGCTCTAGCACGGTTCCCTGGGATCGTCGAGCCAGATATTGCCGGCATCTGATTGGGAGGAGGATCAGACTCAAAGTGCAGAAGAGATCTGTTGCTACTCAAACTGATTTCTCCCTCTTAGACGAGGGATTCTCACCCGATGCTGGAAATAGTGTTGAGAACCCCATTGTTTTGGACTAAACGAAAATGCTCGTTCTATTTGTCCCAAACGCTACCTTGTGAGACTTGTGTACACGTGACGTGGGGTCAGTCCGAGTCAACTTTTGTATGGTTGAGGACTAACGTGGATTGTGCAGGTGACAGGAGCTTGACCAACCCTCCCGTGGGTGACAGACGCGGCACGAGGTATGGGGTTTGGCCGTGAGCCGGCGGAGTACTTCTACCGGTTGACTGTGGGCTCATTCCTCCTAAGCGGCCGGGATATGGTCCATATGGCCCGTGGCCATTTTACAACCAAGTCGGGCTGCCCATAGGAGGGTCGACTGCGCATACTGCAGAAGGGTACCCAGTGCGCCATCTCAAGGAGTGAACTGGCAAGGGGGGGGCCAACTGCAACAGCCAACACCCCCGCCACAGATTGACCAGCCCGTTCAAGCGACGGATCAGAGACGAGGACAAAGCCAAGGGGGTAACGGGTAAGGCAGTCAGGGCCGAGGTGGTTGAGGCCGAGGACAAGGTTACGGCAATGGTGGACAAAACGGTCAAGGAGACGGACGCGGAGGCAACTGGAATGGACAAGGAGGAAATGGCAGACCAAGGTTTAATTGGAGGAATGCTATATGCCATCATTGTGCGTTGAAAGGGCATACCTTAAAGTTTTGCCTGATGCGAAGGGTAGATGAGATAAATGGTCTTATCTCAACGAACATGGGCGGGGATGTTTATGATAAATATGGAAATTATATTGACCCCAAGATTCCTGGTGGTATGCGAGACGAGGCGCTTCGTCAAGCCGAACAAGGTCCGCCACCACCGGCTATGTTTCGACTCTGGCAGGAGGAAGAAGTAAGGCCAATGATAAAGATAGAAGAATTGGCCAATGATGAATCCGATAAGGAGACCAGGGAGGATGAGCCAGTGGTGGTAGAAGTTGAGAAAGAGGAGGAGCCATATTGCCAGAAAAGGGCGAGTGAGACCATGGAGCGAATGGAAGACCTCATGGAGAAAATGCAGAGGTTGAACTTGAAAATGAGGACCATTTGCGATGAAGTGGCGAAACCAATGGTTTTCCTATTAGGCCCAGAGACGGGGTCGTCAAGTGTTAAACCGGCTTGTAAGACCTTGGGATCAACCCCACGATCAGGCATTGCATTTCGTCAGCCTCGGGGACAACCTACGGTCCCACAAGCCGTGTGCACAAGGAGTAAGAAAGGAGATCTAGTAGCAGTCAGGAACCTCCAAGCGAAAGTCAACCACGAGAGAAGGAGCCAGTTATCGATGTGGGGGACGAAGGCAAAGAGGATGAGGAAGATGAGCGGCTAAGAAAGGAAGAGGAAGAACAAGCTGCTCAACGTGCTAAGAAAAGGAAGCCATAGGATAGGCCAGAGATAGCGGCAAGAGGGGAAGGCTCGCGAAAGCAAAAATATGTGGTGCCATTGGAGGATGGATTGGATATTGAAGTCATGGTTGATAAGCTTCTTTCAGGCCACAATGACTTCCTCAACCTGAAAGATATCCTCGCCTCCGCGCCGAAACTTAGGGAAGGATTCAAGACGCAACTTTCTCGTCGACGGGTGGCGAGTGTACGACTGGGAGACCTCATTCCAACCGAGGCTCATATGGCGGTACCTGGGACGAAAATGGATTGGAAATCCGTTCGGACCGGGAGTGTGAACTTGAGTATAAAAGGTAAGCCGTGTAGTGGGATATTAGATACAGGAGCGGAGACGAATATCGTCAAGGAATTCGACGCACTCCGCTTGGGAACGGATATCGATCGAATGGACTTGGGCTTCCTTTACAGCGCAAGCGAGAAGACTCCCTTTACCTGGACAGCCTCAAACGTGGTAATTGAGATCGGGAAAGTGAAGGTGCGATCCTGCTTCTTCGTTATGCCAGATTTGGGCCATCCTCTTCTGTTGAGAAGGTCATTCCCTTGCCGCACTGAATCGATGATACTTAACAAGCATGACGGTACAATGTACGTCATCCTAAGCGATCCAATCTACGACAATTACGAGATCATCACTTGTCATAATACAGGACCTCGTAGTATGAGGAACAGGCCAAATCCAGATTCCTTCACTTTTGAGGAATCAGAAGGGGAGAGGAAAAGATTAATGGGCGAGGACGAAGAGGATTGTGAGCCTACTAGCGAGATGTGTTTGAGCCTAACAGGCATTAACGATGTCATGGAGATAGTGTCGGCATATGGGATGGCGGATCCCATTGCCGTACAACCTTTGAAAGAGACAATAGCGGAAGATTCTGGCGAGGGCGAAGTGAAGCTCATATATCGGTTGTCGACAAGGGGCGAGCCAGAGGTACCTCATAGCCGTACTGCAAGTCAGCCTTTTTTAAGGGTGGGCTCAAGCAGGGCTCCAAGAGTAGGTACAAACCCGTAACTGAGAAGAGTCACCCTGTTCCTGTTCTCATAACGGCGGAAGAAGAGTTGTACTATGAGCAGGAACGTAAACTGACATGACAAATGAAGGGGGATGCAGAACATGGACCATGTCGTGTCAATGAGAGGACCGAGGGAGACTTCATAATAGGAGAGCCAAGGTTACTCACGCCGCAAGAGAATGCCCATATGGTAGAGGTAATGAAAGAGCGGCATCGCGCATATGCGTTTGACGATAATGAGCGTGGGCGACTCGATGTGGATAGAGTTCCAATGATTCGGATCCACACTGTGCCTCATGTGCCATGAAACTTGAGAGGGTCACGCTATCCCTATCCGGCAGAGGAACGGAGAGTAGTCAACTACCTGGATGACAAGATTCATTCTCATGTAGTCGATTACTCAAATGGGCCTTACGCATCGCCATAGTTTTGCTTTGTCAAGCTAAACGGTACCCTGAGGTGGGTACAGGACCTTCAGCGTCTGAATGCAGTAACCATACGAGATGCGGAAGGTTTGTCAAACGCAGATGTGTTGTCAGAATCTTGTGCCGGCAGGCCTATCATTTCCTTGATAGACCTGTACTCGGGGTATAATCAGTTCCCGGTGTATCCATCTGATAGGCCTATGACTGCGATGCATACACCAAGAGGATTAATCCATATGAACGTGGTGCCACAAGGGTGGACGAATGTTGTGGCGATGGTGCAGAGGCATATGGTTCATGCTATGCAGACAGTTAGCCCACATCTTACGCAACCATACATTAGCGATTTGGCCGTGAAAGGGAAGAAGAAGAAGGATGAGACGAAGATTATGCCTGAGGTAAGGAAATTCGTCTGGGATCATATATAAGATATTGCTTGGATTCTTGACATTCTGAAGGATTACAACCTTACCGTAAGTGGACTGAAGTCTAGACACTGTATGCGGGCGGCGACCATATTAGGCTTCGTATGTAACGAGAACGGTCGTCGCCCTGACATCAAGAAGACTAACAAGATACTCGAATGATCGGTGCCATTCGAATTTGTTAGTGAAATTTGTAGCTTCTTGAGGACATGTGGCTTTTGGCGAGTTTTCATCAAGAACTTCGCTGAGAAGACAGAGCAGTTGAGGAAACACCCACGGACGCGTCCGCGGGGTCGACCTCGGAGGGCGGCCGTATATACGGCCGCGTCCACGGCCGACCTTGTCCACGCCACGGACGTGAATTTGCCGTATTGTTCTTGAATTAAATAATGGGGAAAAAAAAATGGGGTTGTAGGGATTTTTAATCCCTACAAACCCATATTTTTTTTTTGGAAACAGATAAGTTTTTAGAATTATAAAAAATAAAAAACAGAAAAGGTGGAAAAAAGAAATTCAAAAAAAAAATTAAAAAAAAAGTTTTTTTGGGGGGGGGAGATTTTTGGTTG